TATGAAAGGTGAAGCAGCCCCGGAATGTAATTTATTCCTGCAGGGAGGCCTTTCCTCCTTGCTTGGGAAGCAGGACCTTTTAAAAGATGCATCTTTATGCCCTCCAAAGGAGCAACGGTCTTGCAGCAGATGTTTGACAGGCTCATGAAGGCAAGAGCTCTCATCAATGCAAACGGCTTTAAACCAAAATCTTAGACCAGAGGTTAAAAAGGAAAAAAAAAAAAGCTCAGAAACCAAGTAGATAAGTTGTCTCCTCCCTGAAATGGCTCGGGGGCGGTCTCAGCTCTCTGCTCTTGACCTTCAAGACTCGGTTTTGGGTCGCTTTGCTGTTCTCACAGAGCTGGTTCCCAAGGTAGCCAAAGCTGGCCCAAAGGCTGCCAGAGCTGTGAATGGGTCTTGGCTCAGTCCCCGTGGCCTTCTGATGTTGGGTTTGCTTCCTTCCTTGCTGGATCTCGGTCGACGTGACGTGAGAAACCCCCATTGAGCATGAGCTTCCTTTAAAGCTCGGTGTGCACTGCCTTGGAAGCGATGGGGCCGTCGAAGTTGGTGACCGTGGAGGGGCGGGAGCCGAGGTCACGTCTCAGGGTGCTGGCCAAGCTGGGTCGCAAAGCCCGTGAGAGGCTGGGAGAAGTCACCTTGCAGAGAAGGTCTGGGGGATGCTGATGTGCATCACGTTCAACACACAAAGCAGGCTCGGAAAGCCCAGAAACAAGCCACAATAAAACCAGCCTCAAGCAGTTTATTCTTGTTTTGGCAGCAGGGGACTGCTCTATTTATTTAATTTAGTTTTATTTTAAAGCTGTACTCCAGTAGCGTTTGGAAACCCTGAAGACTTGGGCTTAGCACGTAAGAATTGGGGACAAAAATCATAGAATTATGAAATGAGAGGCCAAGAAAAATACACTTACTAATAATTAAAATATGGATTGCCAGGCTTTAATAAGCATTCCCTAAACAGTGCAAATCAAGATGTTAATTTGTTTGCGTCTACCCTGGGTTTTTATGAATGTAATTGGAATAAGACCCTGGTCCATGCGACCTCTTACCTTCCCCAGACACTGTCCTTCTATATGGTACTCTCTCAAGTCTGTGAAACACGGTGTGTGTGTTTTCTGCAGAATTGCAAGATTTTGGTGGATTTGAAGGCTTTTTTGAGAACAAAGTTGCTTCTCCCTTTAATGTGGTGCTGTACAGAAACATTCCCCGTGGATTGTCATTGCCAAGTGAACGATGTTTAAATCTCAGCATCTGTTGATAATCACCTGCATGTTCTGTTTTTATCCTTGGAGATGACGTTATTGAAAGGTCAAGTGCTTAAAAGCTTGGAAGTGTTAAAGAGATCCAACAAATAGTTGTTTTCACAATTCTCTTTCTTTTTTCCCTTTTTTATGGCAAGACCCAAATTTTATGCGTAATGCACTGACTGTTACCGTTATCGTCCTGAATATTTGCTACCTTTCTTTTTAAAAGGATGATAATTTTTGATGAAAATAGACCTAGACCAAACTAAACTCTGCAATGCTCTGTGAAATAAACTGTCGGTATTCCCCTGCCAGTCTGTGACTTTGTGGTGTGTTCTGGAATCATTTGCATAATGATGATGCATGGCCAGCAGTTTGAGGGAGGGAATTCTCCCCCTCTGCTCCACTCTCCTGAGACCCCACCTGGAGTGCTGCGTCCAGTTCTGGAGACACAGCACAAGAGAGATCTGGACGTGCTGGAGCGTGTCCAGAGAAGGGCCACGAGGATGCTCAGAGGGCTGGAGCCCTCTCCTGTGCAGACAGACTGAGAGAGCTGGGGCTGTTCAGGCTGCAGAAAAGAAGGCTCCCAGGAGACCATATGGTGGCTTCCAGGATCTCAAGGGGGCTACAAGAAAGCTGGGGAGGGGCTTGTTAGGATGTGGGGCAGTGACAGGACTAGAGGGAATGGATTGAAGCCAGAGATGGATCGGTTCAGATGGGACGTGAGGAAGAAGTTCTTCCCCATGAGGGTGGTGAGACCCTGGCACAGGTTGCCCAGAGAGGGGGTGGAAGCCTC